CTCGAAGCCTCCCTTCGCGCGCCCCCACGTCCACCCGTGACCCCCTCCGATGGGACGCGGCTACACCGTCTGCAGGCGGTCGAGCACCACGTGTCGCGCCCCCCCACCGTTTCTGGCATCTCCTCCCCTTCCCCGGGGCCCCTTGCAGGCCTCACCACGCATCCCCGCCCTTTCGCGGTGGTCCTGGATCGCTTCCGCCCGTCTTTAACAGGGTGGTCCCTTGGGCCCCACGGTGTGTCCCCCTTCCACGACGACCTCCCCTCCTCCCGCAGCTGACTCCCACCCACCCTTCTGCTGAGCCCTGGTCCATCCCCGAAGCCATCCCAGCTCCCGGGGCTTCCCCCTGCTCTCCCAAGCCCTTCTGAGACCCCCTTCACCTTCGGCTTGGCCCTGCTCGCAGCCTCTGGGCTCACCTCGGACTCGGTCTCCCTTTTGCCTGCTCCCTCTGGCCCCGTGAACCCCTCGCTTGCTCCCAGGGAGGCTGGTGCGTCCCCTTCAAGAGATCCCCTTGATTCCACACCTCTGGGGTGGGGACTCGGATCCCCCCACCAACTTTCCACCTGCTGCCGCCTCCGTCCTCCCCTCAGCCAGGGTGGGACACGCAGACCTGGCCAGGCTCCCTCCTGCCTTGTGGTCAGGGCCTCCTCCTCACCCCTTCCCCTGCCCGCCTATCCTGCAGGCTCCTTCCTGTCCCCCAGACTTGTTACACAACCCCTTGCGACACTTGACGCCTGGGAGGCCACCTCCCTTTCTCTCTTGTTCCATGGGGCCCTGGAGCGGAGCTGGGCTGCCTTGAAACTTGGAGGATGTGGGGTAACTGGGTGGGGGGGGCGAAGAACGTCCTTGGAAACTCTGACGGCTGGAGCTTCCTGTGGGGTTTTGGCCCTGGCTCCGCGGTGACGCCACCAGGCTGTTCCCTCGGGCTCTGCTTGGCCACCTGGATCCCCTGACCTTGGAGTCCTTCCCTCTAGGTGGGAGACACCATACCCGCCGTGGAGGTGTTTGAAGGGGAGCCAGGGAACAAGGTGAACCTGGCAGAGCTGTTCAAGGGCAAGAAGGGGGTGCTGTTTGGAGTCCCTGGGGCCTTCACCCCCGGCTGTTCCAAGGTGAGGCCCTTCCCTTCTGAGCATCAGGAGTTGGGTCTTAACAGGCGGGACAGCTAACAAGCAGTTCAGTGCGATCAGAAGAGAAATGGAGGGCCCAGGGTGGTGCCTCACACCTGTAATGCCAGCACTCTGGGAGGCCACAGCTGGAGGATCCCTTGAGCTCAGGAGTTAAGAGTACAGGCTGGACAACAGCAAGGCCTCATCTCTACCAAAAAAAAAAAGCCAGGCCTGGTGGTACATACCTGTAGTTCCAGCTGTTTGGGATGCTGAGGTGGAAGGATCACCTGAGCCCAGGCCATGAGTGTGCCACTGCATTTCAGCCTTAGTCACAGAGACACCCCCACACCTGGGGGGAAAAAAAAAGAAAGAAAAGAAATAGAGGCTTCAAAAAGGCAATGCTTCTAGGAATGTTGGAGAAAAGGATATAGCAGTTAAATCCAACACTGCTTATTTATCCTGTTGAGTGACAGGCACTATGGAAGGTACTTGGAACTCGGGTAAATAAGACACGGTTATGCCCATGGGAAGTTCATGGTCTTGACTGTAGGATGTTAAGTTTGGATCTGAGCTTCTTAGTGGCCAAGGCAAAAGGAATGACACGGTTTGGACGGTTTGCCCTGACCAAAGGCGTTGAGGCAGGGCAGTGAGGAGGGCCCGGAGATGAAGGGTGGGCCAGGGAGCAGATGCAGCTAACCCTTTGCCGACCCTGTTTCCCTTCTCAGACCCACCTGCCGGGGTTTGTGGAGCAGGCGGGAGCCCTGAAGGCCAAAGGGGTCCAGGTGGTGGCATGTCTGAGTGTGAATGACGTCTTTGTGACCAGTGAGTGGGGCCGAGCCCACAAGGCGGAAGGCAAGGTGAGATAGGGGCCCCAGAGAGCCGGGCCAGGTGGGAGGTCGTCCTGGTGACCTCTGCTTTCTCCGTCCTCAGGTTCGGCTCCTGGCCGACCCCACCGGGGCCTTTGGGAAGGTGAGTGCCCCTACCACAGGGTCCTTCCCTTGCCCAGCCTTGGAAGCAGAGACTTGGCGGGTCGTGGCAGTGTGGGGCGCGGCGGGAGCCTTGGCGCCTTCTGGGCCTTCCTGACACGTCTCTCTGTCCTTCCTCGCAGGAGACAGACTTGCTACTCGATGATTCCTTGGTGTCCCTCTTTGGGAATCGGCGGCTCAAGAGGTACGAGCGGGCGGGCCCTCTGGCTTTCCCGGGGCCCTGGCTCCTGCAGCCCTCCTGTCCCCACGCCCAGCCTCCCCAACGGGCCCCTCCTCCCGGCAGGTTCTCCATGGTCCTCGAGAGCGGCGTGGTGACGGCCCTGAACGTGGAGCCGGACGGCACCGGCCTCACCTGCAGCCTGGCCCCCAGCATCCTCTCGCAGCTCTGAGGCCCCGGCCCGCAGGGGCTCCCCTGCCCTTTCTTGTCTTACCTGCCCAGTCCTGGGCAGAGGGCCCCAGCCCAGCCTCTGCTGAGGCCGCCCGATGGGAACCGTGGCCAGGTTTTGACAATAAATGCATGTGGATCGTGTTCCCCTCCTTGGTTTGAATGGCGACTCCGTCGCGCGCTGAGCATCCAGATGGTTGCGGGCCGGCGGAGAACCACGCGGACACCGGGGAGCGCAAAGGGATATATATGAGGTGGCCTGGCTTTGTGACGGGGGAGCCAGGAAAAGCCTTCTAAAAAAAGTCCTAAGGCCTTGGCCAGCTGGGCACCGTGTCTCGCGTCTGTAATCCCAGCGTGTCATTCCTGCTTCCTCGGGAGGCCGAGATGGGAGGCTCGCCTGAGCCCGGGAGGTGGAGGCTGCAGTGAGCCGTGATTGTGCCACTGCCCTCCGGCCTAGGCCACAGAGCGAGACCCTGACTCCACAAAACAAAACCAAACCTTCCTTTTGAGACACGATGAAAATCTTACCGGTGCACACGGAAAGACACGGTTGCCGGTGAGCAAGGACCGTCTAGCCAGGCAGCGTAACCAGCTGTCCGCCGACGCTGTGAGCTCCGGGGAGACAGCTGCAGGGCCCAAGGGGCCGGTGAGGGTCCCTCTCTTCCCTCCCACCCTCTCCCCGGTGGAGGCCACGGCTACCTCCCTACAGCCCTTCTCAAAGGCAGCCTCAGCTTCGTCCGCGTCCCTGTGAACAGAGGCTCGCGGGCAGACGTCAGGGCAGACTTGTGGCCCAGGGAACCCAGCAGCAGCTGTGGCCTTGCTCTGCGTGCTCACGGCTCTCTGTGCCTTGGCCAGGCTGCCACGGGCACCAAGGGGGAGGCTGGAAATGTTTTTGTTTTGTTTTGTTTTGAGTGGGAGTCTCATTCGGTCGCCCAGACTGGAGGGCAGTGGCCGCTCCCGGCCACCGCAGCCTCGACCCACTGGGTGCCGGCGAGCCTTCCGCCTCAGCCTTCTGAGCAGCTGGAATTACAGGCACACGCTACCACGACTGGCTGATTTTTGATTTGTTGTAGAGATGAGGTCTCGCCAAGTTGCCCAGGTGGGTCTCGAACCCGTGGGCTCAGGCAATCCACTCACCTCGGCCTCCCAAAGTGCTGGGATTACAGGCTGAGCCACCGAGCTCGGCTCGAGGCTGGAAATGAACGTCGACCTTGAAGTCAGTGGGATGCCAGTCCACACGCTAGACGCTGCACTTTTTTTTTTTGAGTCAGGATCTCACTCTGTTGCCCATGCTGGAGTGCACAATCATAGCTCACTGCAGCCTTGCCCTGGGCTCAGGCGATCCTACCTCAGTCTCCCGAGTAGCTGGGACTACTGGTGTACACCACCACCCCTAGCACATTTTTTCACTTTTTGTTATAGGCTAGGTCTCGCAATGTTGCTCAGGCTGGCCTCAAACTCCTGGACTCAAGCAGTCCTCCCGCTTTGGCCTCCCAAAGTCCTGGAGCTAGCCAGGTGACTCAGCCTGTAATCCTGCTCTTTGGGAGGCTGAGGTGAGTGGATTGCCTGAGCCTGCAGGTTCAAGACCCACCTGGGCAATTTGGCGAGACCTCATCTCTACAGTAAAACCAGAAAACTAGCCGGGTGTGGTAGTGCTCACCTGTAGTTCCAGCTACTTGGGAGGCTGAGGCAGAAGGATCCCCGGAGCCCAGCAGGTTGAGGCTGCGGTGGCCGGGAGTGTGCTACTGTACTCCAGTCTGGGCAGAGTGAGACTCCAACTCAAAAAAAAAAAAAAAAAAAAAAGTGCTGGAGCTGCAGGTGCACACCACAGCGCCCGGCTTCCAGATACCACCTCTAAGTCCTCTCCTCGTCTTGCACATGAAGAAACGGCTGTGGCGCTTTCCACGAGGGCATCTGTGTTCTTCAGTGTCGGCATCAGAAGATGGGCGAAAGTGGTGGAAAACAGCCCATGCCATGGCTGTGCACCGCATTCCTCCTCCCTGCAAACTCACGCTGCCCTGCAAATTCTCACAATTGGGGACACCAGCCTTGTGCCTGTCCCTCGGTCGCCTCTGTTTCCTCTCCTCCTGGACTCTTATCTGGGCTGGCTGAGGCGCAGCAGGGCCCCTGAGAGGAAGCGTCCCCTCCAAGGTCTGTCGCCAGTGGTGGGTCTCTAGGCCTGGATGAGGTGGCTTCCAGGGTGGCCCTTCCGTACAGCCTGGTGGGGGTCAAGGTGGGGCTTTGGCCTCAGTGCAGAACCAGCCCAATTTCCCCATAGGACTGATACTTACAGGTTTTTGGGTTTTGTTTTTTTAAAGCATCAACATTGACTCTCCTGGTTTTTGTTTTTTTTTAAGTCAGAGTCTTACTCTGTTGCCCAGGCTGGAGTGCAGTGGCACGATCATAGCCACTGCAGCCTTGACCTGCTGGGCTCAGGCAATCCTTCTGCCTCGGCCTTCCAAGTAGCTGGAACCACAGGCATGTGTCACCACACCTGGCTAATTTTTTGATGTAGAGACAAGGTCTTGCCAAATTGCCCAGGCTGGACTCGAACCCCAGCCCTGGCAATCCTCTTGCTTCCACCTCCCAAAGTGTTGAGATTACGGGCGTGAGCCACCATGCTCAGCAAGAGCCTTCTTCCCTGGCCATTCTCGTCTCAGGGATTGGCTTTCTATGCTGCAAGCACTGGGACCTCACCCGAAGCCCTGGTGTTTCAGTGACAAGTGGCCCTGGCTGCTGTCAGCCTACTGGGGGGGAGTGAGTGACCTTGGAGGGCCCAAGATCAAATAGCACCTGGTGAAGGAATCTGCCAGGGCTGGTCTTCAGGGTGGACGAGATAAGGGCAGGCCAGGCCCCTGCAGCCAGAACAGAGAGCCCTGGGGGCCTGGGGTTGCACCTGGCAGAGCTGAGGGTGTGGCCCTTCTGGGTTGTTGGTGACCCAAAGGTCAACATTAAAACACCCAACAAAGGAATAAAAGAACCAGCCAACACATGCCCAGATAAAACTCACTCACCTGCCCTGACTTGCCCAAGGCCAAGGGTTTTACCTAGTGGCTCTGGGCCTTCCTGGGTGAGTCCCTTTGAAGGGGAACCTAACAGACCCCTGTGCTCCTTAAGACCTAAAGTTAAGACGCTGGCACAAAATTAATAGGAGCAGACAGGCAGGGTGCAGTGACTCAAGCCTGTAATCCCAGCACTTTGGGAGGCTGAAGTGAAAGGACTGCCTGAGCTCACGGGTTCAAGACCAGCCTGGACAACGTGGCGAGACCTCGTCTCTACAATACATCAAGAAATTAGCCAGGCATGGTGGCGTGCGCCTGTGGTTCCAGCTACTTGGAAGGCTGAGGCCGGAGGATTGCCTAAGCCCAGCAGGTCAAGACTATGGTGACTGTGAGTGTGCCACTGCACTCTGGCCTGGGTGACAGAGTAAGACTCAAACTCAAAAAAAAAATGAGTAAAGAGTTCACTTTGGCCAAGTTTGAGGATCGCAACCTCAGAGCACAGATCCAAGTCGCCCCGAACAGACACTCTGATCAGCAGCAATGACAACTGGGTTTGGAAAGGAAGAGACAGTTCCTGAGTTGTTTACCAATAATTTTTATTGAAATATCATAAGAAGCCATTGATTGGCTGTATGTTGTTCTTTGTAAAGTCACCAATTCCAGGAACTTGAAGATAGTGGGTGAGGCAGGTAGGAACAAAATGACCTTAAACAATTGTCCCTGTAAATGGAAATGACTGCGATCCTAGGCCCTTTTTTTTTTTTAATTTTTTTTTTTTGAGTTGGAGTCTCACTCTGTCGCCCAGACTGGAGTGCAGTGGCCACTCCCGGCCACCGCAGCCTCGACCTGCTGGGCTCCGGCGATCCTTCTGCCTCAGCCTTCCAAGTAGCCGGAATTACAGGCATGCACTACCACACCCAGCTGATTTTTTGATTTTTTGTAGAGATGAGGTCTCGCTGCCCAGGTGGGTCTCAAACCCGCGGGCTCAGGCAATCCACTCACCTCAGCCTCCCAAAGGCGCGGGATTACAGGCTGAGCCACCGAGCCCGGTTTATCATATTATTTTCAGAGTCAGGGTCTCACTCTGTCACTCAGGCTGGACTGCAGTGGTGTGATCATAGCTCACTGCAGCCTCGAACTTCTAGACTCAAGGGATCCTCTTGCCTCGGTCTCTGGAGCAGCTGGAATTACAGATGTGTGCCACCATGCCCTGTCAATTTAAAAACTTGGGGCCGGGCTCGGGGGCTCAGCCTGTCATTCCTGGACTTTGGGAGGCCAAAGCGAGGGCATTGCTTGAATCCGCAGGTTTGAGACAAGCCCGGGCAACTTGGTGAGACCTCGTCTCTACGATAAATCAAAAAATTAGCCGGGCATGGTAGCATGCACCTGTAGTTCCGGCTACTTGGAAGGCTGAGGCGGAAGGAACGCCTCACTGGGGTGGCCGTGAGCATGCCAATGCACTCCAGCCTGGGCGACAGAGTGAGACTCTGACTCAAAATAAAAAAAAGTAGTTCGTAGAGGCAGAGCCTTGCCATGCTTCCCAGGCTAGTTTTGAATTCCTGGCCTCAAAAAGAGTTCTCCCCTCTCAGTCTCCCAAAGTGCTGGGATTACAGGCCCCAGCCACTGCCCCCTGGCCTCAGAAGTCTCCTGGGCTCCTTCCGCAGGGCGTGTTTCCAAATGCTGGAATGCTGGATCAGAGGCTCCAGCAGCTTCTCTGATCTCTGGAAACTCTGAGGCCCTTGTGAGGGCGACCTGGGATAGAGGAATATGGGACCAATTAGGCCATCATCAGTTGGGTAAATTATATGGAGGAAGGACTCTCAGGATGAGATTTTACAAATGTTACAAAGAGCAAGAGCTGTAAAATCTTGTTAGCCTGCTGGGAAACATTTGATCTTAGTTCCCCAGCAAACAAAAAGTAGTTAACCTTTTGCTGTTAGGTAAACAAAAAGCAGTCAACTATGGCTGTGAATTAACCCTATCTTAAAGAAAGAAAACACCACCATCAGTCAGCTGCCTGCAAAGCTCTGGAAATTTCCTTTTGGAAACCTCCCCAGATCACAATTCTCCCAGCCCACTAAACCCTGACACCCTCTTATAAAAGCACCCCCTAGCCCCTGGCTTTCTGCTGTTTCGCCCGTC